CTCCTGTAACGGACTATTGCGTAATTTACCAATATAGCCCCGTTTGATAGCAATGTGTTCGCTGTGGGCAAAACGGTAAATACGTATCTTTTTTAGTAGTATTATTTTTATGTGAATAATTGAAAATCAGACTCACGTGAACGTAGCACTTCTTCATTGGTTAGGATTTCAGCAACGACTCCTCAAAATAAAAAAGTCTACTACTACATTTTTTCCTTTGAATATTCAAACTTTTTAATCATTTTGTATTTTACAATAATTTTTATTTAATATTGCTCCCAACATGTATTTAAAACCAAATTATGCCACTTTTTTCAATCAGCCATTCAAAATTGTTAAGTTGTCACAATCAACCATAAATCGTTGTCAATAACTGGAATCTAAATTGGAATCTAAATTGAAACAGAAAAGAGAGAGGAAGCTCATGGAATGTGGTGAAAACGTGAGAGACTTTTGAATGTCGATATAAATTAACAACAAATACATTTTTTTGGGGGAAATAATGGCGATGCATATTTTGCTCTGAGCATGATACTGTAATGTTACTGGACGAAACAACTAGATGTTCTAGTTTTTATTAAATTTAAATTTATGCAAGTTTAGTTTGAATTTTTTTTATGTCAAATTAAAAGTGAAGTCAACGAAATACCACAAAGAATGCTTCCTCAGTCTATAAAATATGATGACATTGACAAATGACAACCGACAAGGCTTTCCAGTTCCATAGCATTATTTGAAAATGAAAGCATAAATTTTGACATTTTGCAGACGGTTCATTTTCCTTTTCCAAAAATCCAAAATAAACAAGAAGAGACGTGTCTACAAGAATATGCAACATCTTGAAAAATAAAATTCTAAATTTATACAGAATATAAATGAAACTTGGCCATCTGTTTTAAGCAAAACTTGATAATCTGTTTTAAACCTTGAAGAAATTTGTTTTTAAACTATTTATATAATAATCTTGTCATCTTTAAACTTGTTTCATCGGAAGAAGAAGAAAAAGAATCTCTAAGAAATCTTTTAAGTTCTTTGGCAACTTCCACCATTTTTGGAACTTCCCCTCTAAGACCAATGCATCTTTCTAAGAGAACAATGAAAGCTTCCATTCGACAACGCTCTTCTTCTGTAACTTCACCTATTTTCTCTAAAATCTTTGAATCAACAATCTCATCAATGGATTTTGCAAACTTTCTTCTGTTTTCAAAAGTTGCCAATTCACTCCGACCATAACAAAGCTCACGAAATCTCTCTTCTCCCATCAGAAGCTTTTGCATGAAAATCCCAAATCCAAACGTATCAGTTTTCTCAGAGACAACACCATTGTTCAAATAATTATCGTCCATGTAATCATAATCTCCACCTATACAACCACTACCAAGCTTCACAAATGTTTCTCCTTGTGGAATTGAGACACAGTGAGAGAAGTTACACAACTTAGCAACACCATCTTCATCATCCAATAAGATATCTTCTAAACGTAGAATCCTATATACGAAAGGTCTTGGAAAAGCAGTGTGAAGATAAGCTAAAGCAGTTGCAATCTCCTCTGCTATCTTCAATCTCTGTCTCCATGACACAACCGTTTTCAAATCTAAACTAGAAGGTTTCTTTAATGCACGATAAACCAAAACTGGATGTTCAGATTCAAGACAACATCCAACCAACTGCATGAAGTTTTTATGACCACTCACAATCGATGAGATCGCTATGTCGCGGCAAAAGTTTCCTCCGTTATGTTCACTAAACCTATATCTCCATTTCTTGATGAGTAACATTTGATGATGATGATGGTTATTGTTTTTACCTGAATAATACCAATCGTATGGAATCTCATCGAATAGTTCAGAAACACGATTGGATTCGCTGAAAGTGTCGGTGGCTTCGAGGATTTGATCAGCGGAGAAGAATTTGATAGGATTTGCTCCGCCATTGCAAGATTTGATGATCTCTTCTAACAATATCCCACCTCTCTCGTGTCCTCGGACCAATCTCTCCTTTTTAACTAGGGCTCGTAAACTCTTCTTCTTCCACCAATCCATCTCAAACAACAACAATAACAAAAGATTCTTTTTCTTTTGAGGATAACATGACCAAGATTGATTGAAGACCACACACTTGTGTTGAAAAGTTGTAACGTGAAGTCAACGAAACACCATTGCACAGTAAGACTTCCTTGGTCTTAAACTCGCCATTCTCTTTGACATTTCTCTGCCGTGTCTTGGCTCCAGTTGATTTTGTTCTCAACCAATCCATCTTATAGATTCGACAAGGTTTATCTTTTAGAGAAATGCTGTTGAAATTCTTCACCTCTTTCTCGGTTCAGCTCCCTCTCTCTCTTATACTCTCTGTTTCTCTCCTCTGTTACTCCCTCTTATGTTTTAAGTACAAAGACATAAAAGTTTTAGAAGAGAGAAGAGACAAACTGATTTACTACATTGATATTTTGGATTCTTAGATTGGTGATGGAGAAGTGTATAGCTCGAATTGATGTAGCCATGTTCAACGCAATTCTGCGTGAGTCAGAGCATCCGATTCCCACTGATCCTGTCTCTGATCCTATCCTAGATTCCAATGTTCTGATCAGATTGTTATATTAACTTAACATGAGAAAGTACTAATGTTCTTTAATGTTGTGATCCCTCGCTTGTAGATTGGCAATTGGTCAAGATGCCTGGCTGAAATGTTTTCCATAAACACTAGAGATTCAGTTGAAGAAAATGATCCAATAGAAAATGAGAAATCTTTCGGTTTGCTAAACGAACTTAGCCATCTACTTATGCTCCCAAAAGACATGCTTATGGACCTATCCACTAGAAAAGAGGTTTTGTTATCTTTATCATGCTTTAAGTTCTTGATTAAACTTTCTTGATCACAGAAATTTTATCTCGATTGATTCATAGATATGCCATCGATAAGTCTTCCGTTGATCAAAAGAATACTCTGCAACTTTACACCTGATGAGTTTTGTCCTGATGATGACTCTGGAGCAATCCTAGAAGAGCTTAATAACGAGGTAACAAATTGATATCCTTCACTCATCTGTTCTCTGCTTAGCACTCACTATACTTTTTTTGTTTGTTTCTCATCAGAAGTGTGGTCTATATATGTGAGTGATTGGAAGCCAAATGTTTAGGGAACCATCTACTGAAACAAACTAAGTCTTGTTGAAGTTATTTGTAGCCGCAGTAAGTGTTTTATCAGATGAATGTGCTCCTAGAGGACTGTATTTAGCGTCTGCAGAGGCAGTCAACTCTTTTAACAACAAGCTACCTTTCTCCTGAAAAATAATTCTTGTGTTTCCTAATTGTTTCTTTGTCCTCAAGAAACCATCAAGATTCTTACTTCCTTCTTCTGACATGTTGTTACCTTAGAATTTGACTCTAGCTATTAATGTCAAACTGAGACCAGTAAAGGGATATATAATAAAGAATCTGAGCACAAATCGATGGAAACACTAAATACTCTGCAAAAGAGATGGAGAATCACATTGGAGGAAGAAATAACAAAACCTAAATCTTGGAACTGCTCAGACAACATAAACTTCCCACCAGGGTTCAAAATGAAAAATATATAAGAGCAGCTCAGACTGTTCTAGGAAAGTGCCTTAATTCAAGCCTAGTGAACTCAATGGATTCAGCATCAATTCCCAGAGCAGAAAAAGTTCCTCCGTTTTTGCTTTGAAGATTCTTTCTTAAGTTTCCATCTTTCTTCTTTGGGTTTATATAGTTCTGTGATCAATGGCAAAGAACGCACAGAGAGAATAAAGATGCGTAGACACAGAATTTATATCATATTGTTGTGTCTTTCATTAATACAGTATGTCAAGGAAGAAAGATGCGAAGAGAAGACTGAAGAGTATATTTCTCTAAAAGTCCCACATCGACAAGTTAGAGAGCGTTGGTCATAAGCTTTGTAGTATAAATAAGAAGCTGAGCCCAATGTTCAATTCATACCTTTCTCGGCCTTTTGGCTAAGATCAAGTGTAGTATCTGTTCTTATCAGTTTAATATCTGATATGTGGGCCATCGGCTCACACGATATTAACTCTATTTTTTAAGGGAGAAAGCCCATTAAGATAGCTTGCTATCTGGGCTTTCATGAGTCGCCCATGCGTTGCACTACTGCACGGGCCTGGCTCAACCCGCCAAACTACTAGTTAAAACATTTACTGTTCGTTAAAGAATGCGTCTGGTCAAGGAATGCCAGCAACTGTCGCTAGAAACTCCTTGTCTGGTCTCATTTTAGCTTCTATGGTCTCATTTTAGCTTCTAAATCTTGCGGAAATGATGTTTCAAGGTAACAAAAACACAATTTAACATTGTGCGTGTAGTAGCGTTTAGGATCTTGATCTTCTCAGCTTTTTCTTGGTTCCTTATGTTACAGGTTGACCTTCTGGTTATCAAACATCATTGCTTTGAGAGAGATCATTTTGCAGGCATTTGGTAAAACTAGTGTTTCTAGTGATTTCACAGAGGACAGAGACCTCTGAATCAAATGGGAGTGAACATATTGGTTTAGGGAAGCTAACAATGGACTAAGCAGTCCAAAATGGTTTCAAGCAGGTTTTCGAAGATTGGCAGGAATCAGAAACTTTCATTGCCACATTAGAGAAAGTTGAATTCTGGATTTTCTCTAGAATCGTTGAATCTGTTTGGTGGTGGCAGGTGAAACTTTAAGAAAGATTCATTCTTTAAGACATCTCAAATTTGCTTTTGTTTACTCCTGTCTTTCAGGTTTTCACCCCTCACATGCAGTCCCGGAAAATGGCGATAAAACGAATGAAAAACTAATGGGACATGTTTTGGAAAATCATGAGCAAGGAAGCTTTTCAATTAGCCTATGGAAAAATACTTTCAATTTTCAAAGTCGCTCTATCGCGGCTCTGTCCCATGTGAGGAGCAGGGCACTAGTGCTGTTGCTTACCTATCTTGGCTAAAATGGTATTCAGATTCTACATTTTTAAGCTAAAGCCAATAGCATTAATTTTGTAAAAGCTATTGGAAACTTAACTTTTATATACATTCTGTCCATACTATGTAACAAAAAGTGATGGAGAAGTCAGAAGTGTATAGCTCGAACTGATGTAGCCATGTTCAACGCAATTCTGCGTGAGTCAGATTCCCACGGATCTTGTCTCTGATCCATCCTATCCTAGATTCCAAAGTTCTGCCTATCCTTGCTGTGCATTAGGACGAGCAGAGGTTAAAACTGCAAATCATATAGATCCAAACACAAGAGTTTAACAGAAAATATGAAACGTCAATGCTTTTCATACACAAACCCAAAGACTAAAGAGTTAAAAACAAAGGATAAAAAAAGTGCGACAGATTAACTACTTTCGAAGCTAGTCCTTACTCGATCCTCAGGCTCTGCTCTCTGTTTTGGGAGACTTCGATTTCATGTCCTGAGAATCTGTAGCAGCTCCGCTCTCACTCGCTTTGGGTGCACCTTGTGAGCTTCCACTACAAGTGGCAGTACTAGGCTCCTTCCGCTTCAGCTTATTGTCAACAGATTGCGAGCTTCCACTTTTGCCAATAGGATATCCTCCATCTAATAGACTTGTCCAAAGCCATAATGAACGTGCAAACTCATTTTGCTTCAATGATTCGACATTTTCATCAGAGTCTGCCAAGAAAACTTTGTAACCTCTCGAATGCAAACCATGAAGAACACTGAGGAACTCAAAGTCTTCTGAGATGTTTTTTGAGATTACCATCACAGTTCGTATCATAGATTCCTGCACAGGATTGTCCAGCGCCCAGAAAAGAATGTCTTTCATCATCCTATTAACTCTCGCACATTTATCTCCTTCGGGTACAACCATGATTCCGGCGAGTAGAAACGCATCCCGGATCTTATTCTTCTCACCATAAGCCCTAATTTCAACAATACCACGATAACCCTTTTAGGCAAGAGCTGATTTGATATTCTGATAAACCCAATCAGGATCGCGACCTTCAGGGGCCTGGAAATCCTCGACGTCCCAGAAGACGCATGTGTGAGCAGAGATCTTACACTTACTGGATAAATCTTTGCTCATGATTTCGACGGAGATTACTTGCTAAGAGGGACACTGTTAGGGTTATTTGTTAGAATTTGTGATTAAGAAACGACAACAGAGAATTGCTTTCAGAATAACAATGTTTGGAAAAGCTTATTATTGATTGGATGAATAAAACTTCTCTCGTAACCTACATATTTATAATTTTATAGGATCATAACATAATTGCTGAAAAGGAAATTTCCTATTCAATAAAGTAAAAACTAATTAATTTCCTATCTTAATAATGCTAATTGCTAAACGAGACTTTTTCCTTTTTGTTTTTTTTTTTTGTATTGCTCATGTGTTTGGCACATGTCTCACTTAATCATCTTCTTCTTTTCTTCGTAGAAACCATTTTCAATCCCTACATTCACCATCGTTTCATGGATCGACTCTTCTTCATTCTTCAAGCTTACTCCAACATTGTTTAGGATCTCTCCAGTCTCCAATACTAACCCTAAACCTTACACGTCTATACCATTTATTCCAACCATAAAGTTGACAAAATAGTTCTCAGCTGTAAACGAAGAACACTAGATAAAGCGGTGAACAAAATAGAGCGAAAAATAACTAGATGATGAACTAGTGCTTTTAGTTTGTTTAGGGAAATTGAGCAGCATTTTCTTGAAGAATGCATTACAAGGAGCAGAGCATTTGAACCCAGTACAGAGTTTATCAGAACAAGAAGATGAAATGTCAATGTTTTTATTATACACAACCCAAAGACTCTGAAAAACAAGGGATCATCCATTTAAATAAAGATTAATGTAGGTACTTGCGCTACTGGGTTTGGTCGATAGGTTTTCCTCCATCTACTAGGCTTTTCCAAAGCCATAAAGAGCTAACAAAGTGAAGCTGATTTTCTGATGCGACATCATAATCAGAATCTGCTAAGAGAATGTTGTAACCTCTACATTGCAAAATTCGAAGAACCCTGAGGAAACCCTCGTCTTGTGAGATGTTTTTGGAGATAACCATCACATTTGGCAGTAGTACAGGATAATCTGAAGGATTGTCTAGAGCCCAGAGAAGAACGTCGCTCATCATCCTATAAACTCTCGCACATTTATCTCCTGTAAGTTACCACCAATATATAAAAACGATTACAGATCGAAAAGCAGCAGCATGTTAACCAGAGTTTTGTTTAGGAAAGCTCACCTTCGGGTATAACGGGGATTCCGACGAATAGAAACTCATCCCAGATCTTATTCTTCTCACCATAAACCCAGATTTCCACATTACCACGATAGCCTTTATTCGCAAGAGCTGATTTTATATTCTGATAAATCGTACCAGGATCGTGACCATCAGGGATTGGATAATCCTCCACGTCCCAGAAGACGCATGTGTTAGCCTCTGCGAGGTTTAACAAATCGGGAAACAATTACCAAACGGACGGGAACAAAAAAAAACAATCAGATCGATGACAGCGAGAGAGAGAGAGAGAGAGATATCTTACTGCTCATGCTTCCGACGGAGATCAAGAGCAAATTAGAGACTTTTCTTTCAGATCTCTCCACCTCGCCGTCGGTAGTATACGCCGTCGTTTCAATAATAAGTGTATTAACCGTCTAATACACACACTAATAGATCTTACATAATTGAGCTTTTTGCCTTATTGGCCTTGTATCTAGTAAAATGGTGCAGTGCTGCTAAGCAGACAACTTTAGTTCTTGTTTCATGTTCTAGACATAGATTTAATTTAGACGCTTTCATAGATATTAAAAAAAAGGCGTTTGAGGAGCCACAAGCTAAACCTTTATGGGTCCTCTTAAAGAGTTTTATTAATCTTTTTAACGGCTTTGCATGATTATTATTGCAAGTATAATCATGTTCGTTTATTTTCCTCAAACGTCCTGCTATCAAAAACCATTCCAATAACTTTTCATAACTTCAAAATCTTTCTATCCCACATGTCACCATCACAATGATAAACGATAAGCATATAAATTCACACATGTAACACCTCATTTTTCTCATATTATAGTAATCATTATCGTTCTTTGCACATCTATGTCTATATTCACCTACTTCAAAGCTCAATCTACTACTTTCATAGTCGTGTCCTTCCGCTACACCTCAGCATCAGTATCAGCTCTGATCTTCCGACGTTTCTTCCGCTCAAGCTTACTGCTGGCAACATCTTCTGAGCTTCCACTTTGGTCGGTACAACAAGTGGAAGTATTGTCAACACATTGTGAGCTTCTGATTAGGTCGATAGGTTTTCCTCCACCAAATAGGCTTTTCCAAAGCCATACCGAGCGTACAAAAGGACGTAGCAATTCTAATGAGAGTGCATCAGGCTGTACGAAGAGAACATTGTGATCTCTCGATTTCAAAACTTGAAGAACTCTGCGAAACTTGGTGTCTTCTAAGATGGTTTTTGCGATTACCATCAAATTTGAAGGTTCAGGATGGTCTACTGTCCAGATAAGAATGTCGATTAACATTTGATTAACTCTCGCACATGGTCCCCCTGAAACTTCGGGTGGGTAGTAGACTCCGGCATACAGATATTCACGCCGCAATGTTTCCGTAATCTCACTCTTGTTCCCACCATAAACCCGTATTTCCATGGTGTTATCACGATAGCCCTCATTAGCAAGAGTTGATTCGACAGTCTCATAAACCGAAACAGGATCGTGACCATCAGGCGTTGGACAATCCTCCACGTCCCAGAAGACCCCTATTTTTGCCCCTGCGAGGTTTCAGAAAAACAATTACGAAATCAACAATCAAATCGTGATTACAATTTGCTTATATCCATTGAAATCTAGTAAAACAGATTTGATTAGATCCGCTAATTCACTAAGACAGATCGATCAGATGAAATCTAAACAAAACAATTTCAAAGGAGGAGATAAAGAGAGTAATCTTACTGGAGAAATCTCTGCTCGTGGTTTCAACTGGAACTGGTGATGGCGATGGCGACGGCGATGGAGATGGCGATGGTGATAGCGACGGCGATGGCGACGGCGATGGCGACGGCGACGGCGATGGCGACGGCGATGGCGACGGCGACGGCGATGGCGATGGTGATGGCGCGATGTATAATTGACTGTACTTGTTAGTACAGTAACGATTATAGCTCATGGTTTCGACTGGGAAGATAATGAGAGAAGAGTATTAGGGTTCGATCGGCTATAAGAGAGATCTCACTGTGAGGGTTATTATGTCTCTCTCTCCAGTCTTTGAATTCAATATTCGAAGAATTCGTTTATTGATCGGATGATGGTCTTTAGCTCTTCCTCGTAGTTTACATTATATAGCCAAAAGGCTTAACATAAGTATTTGTTAAAAGGCAATTACCTATTTTATCCCCTGCCATGTTTAACATATTCAAAGAAAATTTCCTTTTTATAAAGTACAGCTAGCACTTTTTACCACATGTAAAGGGGAAACACATAATCCTAATTAATACTAGTAACTTAAAAAATCATACCAGGTCAATGACTTTGACAGCGATTTTCTGCTTTTAATTTTATTTCTTTTTCAATTGCCTATTAACAAAACAAATCAATTAGAAAAACGTTTAGTTGATAGATTTCTATATGTAAAACGTATAAAATTAATAATAAAGATTTACTAAATAAACAAACATTAACATTATAAAATATGTATAAATCATTAGATTTGTTTGAGAATTGAGATGATATTACAATATGTCGACAATGTCGCTTTATATAGTGATGGATGGAATGAATGAGTGAGTATTCAATACGTTTTTAGATATTGACCAAATCTTCCAATAAATTTTCTTTAGCAATCTAAAAGCATTTTCTTAACATTTGATGAGCGATCCCAACATTTGATGAGCGATCCCAACAATATCCCACCTCGAGGACCAATCTCTCCTTTTTTAACTACGGCTCGTAAACTCTTCTTCTTCCACCAATTCATCTCAAACAACAACAAAGGCAGAATTAAGACCACACACTTGTGTTGAAAACTTGTAACGTGAAGTCAACGAAACACCATTTCGGAGTAAGACTTCCTTGGTCTAAAAATTAAGCTTCCAATTAGTTGCATGGTACATCTTAGTTAAATTATAACTTAAAACATTCGGAATATCTATTTCCTCCTAATTAATCCCATTAAGAGACACTCTTGGCGATCACTGTTTCCCACCATTTTCTTAGTCCACACCAACAAATTCAAACAAACAAAAGGCAATGAACAATGGTCTACAAATGATTAGCTGGAGGTTATGTAATACACTACAGGTCAAAGACTAGAAAGAAATCATCAAGTAGGACTTGATCAAAAAGAGACTAACTTGGGCATTACCAGTCACTTAGCTTGTTGGTCCAAAAAAGATTAAGATCTGCTTGGTACCCATATTTTCTCACGAGACAAATTTGACCAAACATGTTATGAAATTAAGCAATCTTGGAGAAATTGAACAATTCATTAGGACGAGCAGAGCATTTGAACCCAATACAGAGAACAAGATGAAATGTCAATGTTTTTATCATACACACAACCCAAAGACTCTTCAGAGAGTTAAAGACAAAAAAAACAAGGGATCATTTAAATAAAAGTGTAGCTAGCTACTTTCGTTCTTGCGCTACTTACTCCTTATTGTCATCAGATTGTGAGCTTCCGGTTTGGTCGATAGGTTTTCCTCCATCTACTAGGCTTTTCCAAAGCCATAAAGAGCTAACAAAGTGAAGCTCATTTTGTGATGCGACATCATAATCAGAATCTGCTAAGAGAATGTTGTAACCTCTACATTGCAAAATTCGAAGAACCCTGAGGAAACCCTCCTCTTGTGAGATGTTTTTGGAGATAACCATCACATTTGGCAGTAGTACAGGATAATCTGAAGGATTGTCCAATGCCCAGAAAAGAACGTCGCTCATCATCCTATAAACTCTCGCACATTTATCTCCTTCGGGTACAACAATGGTTCCGGCAAGTAGAAACTCATCCCGGATCTTGTTCTTCTCACCATAAGCCTTAATTTCCACAATACCACGATAACCCTTTTTCGCAAGAGCTGATTTGATTTTCTGATAAACCCAATCAGGATCGTGACCATCAGGGACCTGGAAATCCTCGACGTCCCAGAAAACGCATGTGTGAGCAGAGATCTTACACTTCTTACTGGATAAATCTCTGCTCATAATTTCGACGGAGATTACTTGCTAAGAGAGTGATGGAGCGGAAGTACGAAACGGAGCTTGTTTCTCAAGTTTCCCGAGAAACTAGAGACAACAAGAAGAGGACACCGAAGAAACAGAGGTTTTGATGAAGCGGACGAAGCTTGTTGCTCAAGTTCCCGAGAAGCTAGAGAAAACAACAAGGAGAATCTGTCTTTTCACTGAAGAAACAGAGGTTTGAGAATTGCCTCTTTACAAGGCATTAGAGGACTATTTATAAGAAAGCTTAGCTTTTAGTTCCTAAGGTAATTAGGAAAACCTGAATCGAATAAAAGTAAAATCCAAGATAAAAAATTGCAGAGAAATAAAAAAACTGCAGAGAAAAGGAAAAGCAACCAAGAAGAAAATAGAAAACGTTTAACCTTGTGTGATACGATAAGAGAGACACTACTGTTAGGGTTATTTAAGATCTCTCGAGTCTCCAGCACAAGCCCTGACCTTATACGCCGTCGTTTCAACAGTAAAAGTCTACACCCTAAGATCAGAGCTCCCACATATACCAACCGTTCGATCTGTTTTTATTAGCCACGTGTCAGCATCCTCACGGTTTGTTTATGAAGTCTTACTCAACTTCGCAACACCATCTTCATCAAGTAATATATTCACATATACGATCGCCCTTGGGAAAGCAGTGTGAAAGATAAGCTAAACGCAGTTGCAATCTCCTCCGCTATATTCATTTTTATTTTCCACGACACTAGCATTTTTAGATCTATTAAAGAATATTGTTCTTCTTTTTTTGTTTGTCATTGTTCCATTGGTTCTTTGCTACAATTTAGGAGACTAGAAACAAAACTAAAATTCTCTTTGGTAATACTATGCAAAAAAAAAAAAAAAAAAACTGCAAAATAAATGATTTAGTCTCTAACCAAAAAAAAAGGTAATTAAAAACAGAGGAATGACTAACTTCAATTTCTGGTGTCATTTTTGTAGACTATAGTTAAAAGAGAAATCTAACTAATGTGCCACTTACTGTTTAAAAACTTAGCAAAATTGCCACAAAACATAAATCTTTCCAAATGTGCCATAATGGTGGATAACATTTCTTGTCTACCAAAATTTTTGTTATGTCTTTTCGAATTCTTGTCCACCAAAAGTCTGTTGTTTCAAAGGTGGAGAAGATTTTTTGTCCACCAAATATCTTTCCAATCTGTTGTTTCAAAGGTGGATAACATTTCTTGTCTACCAAAAATTTTCGTTTCAACGTCTTGTCCACCATTATGGCACATTTGGAAAGACAAATGTTTTGTGGCAATTTCTATAAGTTTTGCTACAGTACATGGCACATTAGACCAAAATCCCTAGTTAAAACTTACAAGCAATGTTTTACATAAATCATTTTTTAAATTATGAGTAAAAATGTTGGCGCCTCAATATTTCAGGTTCGATTCGCATTGTTCTTCTTAGAATTGGATAATTTAGTCCACATTGACAAACAAACAAAAAAAAAATCATAATATGTATAAAGATGCGTCAAGTGTATGCATATTATATTGTTGTAAAAAAAAAAGTGTATGCAAACGTTTCTAACAGATTTTGTCTGGCAGTCAACTATTTGTTATGAATATGTACAATCACATATTCACATATAAAGAATAGCATGTGACTATGTTACGTGAATTTAGGCAAAGGATCTTACATAAGGAAAGTTGTAACCAAACTCAACAACCCTTATTTGTTATTTTTGTTATCTTTTTCCCTTTGCTGCAAAATATATTGGAGAATCTGAATAAAGCTGTGAGCAAAGTACAGCTAAAAAAAACTAGATGATGAAATTGTTCTTTAGTTTGTTTTGATTCTTCATTTATTTCTATATTAAAAGAAAATTTGGTTAGATAGATCAACCACTTCAACAATACTGAAAATAAAATTTTGAACTTTACTGAAAAGAAATTTCGGTATTAGAATACTAAAGAATTTAACGTGTTAAATATCATTTAATTTCTACAAACCACGAAATACTCTCGCACTCTACACCGCACATATATAAACAATCAGAACCATACCAAACCATGTGAATGAAATCACAAAGAGGTCATGCTTCGCAAGAAAAAAAACAAAAGGCATCGGCAAAGAGAATGGCAAAAAGAGGAAGAAGTGAACGGGAAAATTGAAAACGTATGGAACAAAGTGGAGACACTTAACAGTTAACATCCACGATAATATTAGTAGAGTAGTCACTTCACGCTAAGGCCGGGCATTGAAAAAGGATTGAGGATTCGTCCTGACCGTGCTAACACATTAACTTGAAATTACATCAATCTAGAAATCCATCAGTGATTGTGTCATGTTGAGATGTTCGCACAACCTGTCTCAAGAAAAAATTAAAGCAATTTTTGGTCATCTTCTTTGTCACACCATGACAATCCTTCTCCAATTACCTTCTCTTTAAGTTCCGCCTGTAAGCCATTTTATTGGTAAAACCATTTCGGTAGTCGTCAATGAGTGTTAAGAATTTTGTAACATGTTTTGTTTTGGATTCATCTGAAATAAATGTTGATTTGAAATATTTGGATGTTACATTTCCATATTTAAAAAGAAATTTTCCTTTTTTAACTTAGCATATGAACATTATAATTATTGGAAAGTCCAGCTAGCACTTTTAACCACATGAAAAGGGGAAACACATAATCCTAATTAGGACTAATCACATCTTGGTAGTGTAGAGATCAATTTCCGGCAGACGTTTTTTTTCCCCTTGCCCATTGCATAGTTCAAATAGTGGTAAAACAAAACTCAAATGTTGGTCAATTCAATCGATTATAAGAGATAAGGGAACAATTTGGAGTATGAAAACAAATAGAGGGACTAAAATCAAATAACAAGAAAAAACGCTTGTGCCGTGTTCGAAAGTTTATGTGTGTCCTCGTGATCATCTCCGTATATAATCAATCAATCAATAAAAATCCAGAGTTACACACTCCTCAAATTTTCCGATCGCTCCCATTAAATCGCAAAGTTAATTTTGCGATTTTTTTTTTTCTTTTATTTTTCTGGTTGGCTTATTTATTTTCTCCTTTTAAAAAAATTCTGCAACTTGTCTTGAAATCTGGGGTAAAAATTTCTGCAATTGGTTTCTGGAAATCTCGGGGAACGATTTTTGGGTTTTCTTTATACTCTCTCCTCACATTAGCTTTTTTTTCTGAGGACATTTCTCCATGGTGATTGCTGCAGCTGTCATCGTGCCTTTGGGCCTTCTCTTCTTCATATCTGGTCTCGTTGTCAATCTCTTTCAGGTTTGGTTTCTGATTTCCCAAGCTTCTTTTTAGGTTTGTCTGATTCGTTTCTGGTGTTACTCGTTTTAGATTCCGTTCATGTTCTACATTGTAGATCCTTTCTTCTTTTTCCCTCTTTCGTATTGATTCACTGTTTTTAGGGTTTCCTTCTCCAGAAGTTTGATTCTTTCGTTTTTTTGGTCGGCGATTGTGTTAAATTCTGAGTGTGTATGTGTGTGGGAGAGATAGAGAGAGAACACATGAGTATATAAGCTCAAAATCGACTCGTGGAGCTCATGCAGTGAGCTAAAGAGTGTTGTTTGATTCTGCGATTAAGTATCACTTTTTTCAGATTTATGTTTTGATGTTTACTACATATCGTTTCAGGCAGTTTGCTATGTACTCATTCGGCCACTGTCTAAGAACACATACAGAAAAATTAACCGGGTGGTTGCAGAAACCTTGTGGTTGGAGCTTGTATGGATAGTAGACTGGTGGGCTGGAGTTAAGGTATCCACAAGCTTTCTCCTTTTTGTAAATGGCTATTAAGCAGACCTGCGCTTGGATATACATAGATTTTGTTTATCTTATCTAACTATATAAGTTCCTCTTGTTTCTTTTGCCCTAGATCCAAGTGTTTGCTGATAATGAGACCTTCAATCGAATGGGTAAGTTCGTATACTTATAGGCAATCAAAACAGTTTCTGATGTCTTCAAAAATAAAAATTCCTGTATAAGAACGAATCTGTAACTTCAGTGACTGTCCTACAATTTTCGTCCAGGCAAAGAACACGCTCTTGTCGTTTGTAATCACCGAAGTGATATTGATTGGCTTGTGGGATGGGTTCTGGCTCAGGTACATAATTTAATTTCACAGTTTCATCTATCTTCCTTCTAAAGAAACGTTTTTGTTTGAATTCATAAATGGAGATCAACATAGACTTCTTGATGAGCAATCTTGTATACTTGATGGGACCATGTGTTGCTTCCGAGTTTCTAGTGAATAGAGATTCTCTTAGGTAGAAGGTGACAGTCCTAGTGTGATCCACTGATGAGATAAGAGAGAAATTAGCATCATCATATTTTCTCTAACAGGCTCCATGTTATGCTGTTTACAACTTTTAATTTATTTTCATATTTTCTTTCCTTGCAGCGGTCAGGTTGTCTGGGAAGCGCATTAGCTGTAATGAAGAAGTCTTCCAAATTCCTTCCAGTATGTGAATATATTAGCTTGGCTTATTGCTGTGCTTGCTAGATTTTACAGAAAATAGTAATCTTTAATTCTATTTCTGAATCTCTGCTATAAGTTAGAAATTTGATACCTGGCTTTGGGTCTGAGAAAAAGATAATTGTTTTAGGTTAATACACTTCTTCTGCTTTCTTATCCGTTATATACTCCATAGTATTCATAAACAGAATTTTCACACACATACAGGTCATAGGCTGGTCAATGTGGTTCTCGGAGTATCTGTTTCTGGAAAGGAATTGGGCCAAGGATGAAAGCACTCTAAAGGTATGGGTTTATATTAGTCTTGTGCAACTCATTTAGTTTTTGCTCCCGTGTAAAATGCTTATTAGCACATGCATCTACTTCGTTCACAGAGGGATTAGCCTGAAAATGCATAATCTTCATTTCCAGACCTTGAGTTATGTGTGTTTGTCTAAATTTACAGTCAGGTCTTCAGCGCTTGAGTGACTTCCCTCGACCTTTCTGGTTAGCCCTTTTTGTGGAGGGAACTCGATTTACAGAGGCTAAACTTAAAGCCGCACAAGAGTATGC